GTACACAATTTTTATTTCTGTCCACACCGGCGAAGGAGCGCGCGCGCTGGCGGTACGCACGCACACACATGTTACACATAATATGCGAGAACGCTGCTCGCGTGCCGCTATAGCCGCCGCGAGTGCCTTCCATACGCACACTGGTGTAGTGGGTCACTAAGAAACTTTCAGTAGGTGAACAACCCGAACCCGCCTGTTAAATGCCAACGAACTCCAGCGACGATCTACACTAATATTTCTCAATGCGCGACCGCCGCCGGTTCAGTTCCCGGCTTCGGAGACATCAGTCAAACATCGGTGTCATCGCCCGATGGAAACAATCAAATACAAATATTTCAATAAGATATTGATTGAAATGTAGTACCATCTGGTAATCCAGACATAAGGGGTTTGCGATTCGGATAGGATGTCGACCAGAAGGACCACTTTCGATTTCGTTTCGGCGCGTATGTCGGCTTGTTGGCGACTCCACTCGCTCCGGCCTGACGTTTGAGCGGTTTGAGCGATGCGAGGTGTTCGCGGCCAGCCGTGCGCATTCCGTACCGATGGTTGTTGTGTCGTGTTGTGTGTGGCTTTGTCGGAGGACGGGTTTATTCGGATTTGTTTCTTGCAACCAGCGCAGGCATTGCGATATTTATGCGCCGGAGCCGTCCAATGACTCCCCGACGGATGGCGTCGCACACTTGCACGCGGTGGCGGCGCGCCGGCCGTCCGAAGACATTGCTTGCTGACCGGCGCATTCTAATGCAAATGAGCAAACGCGCCCGACTCGGGTGCAGGCCAACGCACCCGATATATCTAGCGAGATGCAGCGTGCCGCGCGCTGGTTGAGGCGAACTATAAAAATGAAAACGAAATAAAAACAAAAGTGCGGCCGAGACAAAAATGCCAACAATCTCCGCGGCTACTTCTAGGTGGCTTTGAAATTCAATGCGCGACCAAGACGCTAAAAATAGATCAATAATGGCGATGTCGTGCTATAGACATAGAGGAAAAGCATCGAATTACAAACGGCATCCTTTAGCGTTTAACACTTTGATGCGTTTTCTAGCGATTTATTTATCTATTTACGGCGCGCATCGAATTTCTCATGTTATCATTATCGATAAAAGTGGATCAATTTTGAGATCGCCGGCAACTTTCTTCCAATTCGCACATAATGAAGGAAGGAAATAATGTAAGAAAAATAAACGCGCATTTCCAATTTCGAATCGGCTTGAGGCAGATGCGCGTGCGTACATCAAGCGATAACTTTTTCCGATTTTTCGCCGCGCTGACAGAGAGAGTGCTCTAGTTTCCATCATATAACAGCCAAGAAAGCATAATTTCGTCGCGCGAATGGAAAAGTAATAGTTTGGCCTATATTTCCGGATGTTGTTTATGGCCGTCATTCATTGCACTTTCGCGCACATCGTCATCGAATGCAAAATGCTAACTAAACTGCTATATCTACAAAACCGCTTAGGACTAGGCCAACAAGAAGCGTCGTACAAGAAATCGCATCGCATACTACCAGCGCAAATAAATATCATCACACTTTACGCAATGTAAATATCCTGATTCAAGAAACTTCGAAAAACAATCGGTATACAGGTACAAACCAAATGAAACCAAAATAATAACACTAACGTGCCGGAAAACATCTGCGGCAATGAAATATACGTACGTTAAAGTGACAACATACTCACACATCGAATGGAAACTAGACTAGCATGTTGTGTTGCAAAGGGAAAAAATTCGGAGATAACGTCGTTAACCACAATGATGGCGGAGGTGTAAGTAGTTCACCTAATTTTCACCAATCGCGTGCGGTCCGAATCTCTTCATTCATTCACATAATATTGATCAAACACTTTAATCGTAAATAATCGCGACACAACAATATGTGCGTAACATGCGGGTCGCCATACACAAATTAATCTCGGTGTTATTATTATTTATGGATGCGGCCGGTTGCGCGTGGCTGTCAATTGCACATTCACATTTGAAGCACTTAAAATGGACATTGAAACCAGTTATTTTATACCAGTTGATTTACACAATGTTTAAACCATTATAAATTCATAGAATTTATTTTATTTTCACAATTTTATAATTATTGTAATAAAAGCAAACAACTTTTTCACTGTTTCTTGAGTTGTATGCTTTGAAATACTGAAATTCATGCATTTCTTGTCTGTGGACAAATGGTGAGTGACAAACTGTATGATAAACTCCATGGCTAAATTTGTTGTGTTTGTTCGATAAGATGTATCTTCGCGCATTGGCCTTATTTCGCTCGTTATCAAAAGCGACGACCCTGACACACTGACACTGGACTAGTGGCTGTGTTTGAATAATCTAAATAAATTGAAACGTTTACACTCGCATTTGTGTCGTATTCTTTTTTCTTTTCATTGATTATAACACCCGAACTGTGCGTACATTGAGTAAGTTATAATTTATAAGTATATATAAACTCCTACGATGCGTTCTAAAAATAGTTGTACGAGAAGAAAAAAATATGGAGCATGATTGGCACTAACGAAATAGGCCGACGATAAGACAATAATAGATATTTCATATTTTATATTTCATAATGTGTTGATGATTGCAATAATATTAAATAAATTGTTTTTAATGTAATATTTATGAAATGAAAGCATTTAATCTAGTTGTGTGTAAAATGTAGTTTTTCGAGCGCATATTTAATTTCTCTCTGTTTTTGTTTTGCCGCCCGAAGCATCTTTTGACATCCTTGTGGCATCCATCTCGTCGATTTCGAATTTCGAAACACGAGCAAAAATTCAGCCTCTTCTCGGCCGCGCATCGAAAGGATGATAGGTTATTGTACCAAAGCGGAGAAAGGTCGAGGCAGTGAAATCATCGACACTGACATCGTCATAGTCGCAGGTTTACTTCTTGCAGAGAGAACCACCTTGATGGTGTTGGTATGTGTGTGATGATTGTATGCTAGGTTCACTGCCCCCATGAGACGGGGCAGTTGATCATCGTTCGTCGCGTGTCGGCGACTCTCATACGAAAGTAGACAATCACTTTTCTGAAATTCCAAATCTAGCACATGCCTACTTACCGGACGGCGCGAAATTGGGTTAGAGATTTTTTCCCCAACTTAGTTTCATTCCGCGATTATCATCGTTTCGCGTTTCTACACTGCCGGTGCATCCATCATTTACGTCTTCTTCTCAAAGCGGGAAAACACGATTCGATTTCTTGATTTCTATATTCGAAATTGGAAATTGCACGCTATGACAATTGATACGAGTATTTATTTATTGCTCACTTGCGACGCGTGCATTATTATCGCTATTTATAGCCGCATATTAGTCACACCATAATTAATACGCGTAGATATCTTCGGTCGCGTGCGTTTTATGGCTGTCAGAGTGCATTCTGGCCGATTGATGATAGGCGCATAACTAGGAACAACACATAATTCAAGGTCACATATTGTGTATCGCGTTGACCCAGTTCTGATGACCACACGCACTCAGAAAAGCCAATAAAATTTGATGGACTTGATACGGGCATATGTAGATCATATTTGATTCATCATCATCATCATCATTTAGTTAATCTTCTCTAATAGGCATTCATTTCTAAAATTGGATTTTTTACACACCTGAGTGTTCGATTAAGTTTATTGCTCTACTTTTAGGGAAAAAGTAATTGGGCAGAAGGGATGTAATCCTGCATTGCAAAAATAAATTCCATCGAAGAATAAAATTTAATGCGTGTATAGAAAACAAGTACCTATGGGAGGCGAAGAGGGTCGGGTGTTTGGTACTAGAAGTACTCGACGGTATTTATAATAGCGTGCAAGTAGCAAAAGAAGTCAACGAACAGAAATGCCAACGCAATGCCAACGTCCTCTGGAACAAGTGAAGCACACACGTAGTCGGGCTGAAATAATCTCATTTAATTTCATTTTACCACTATAGCTCCCCGGTGCGGAGTACGTACACAGTCGTAGAGCAACTAACCTTTAGGCCGGCGGCCGGGCGCCGAGAAAAAATCCACCAGCGCGTTTTTCCATCCACCGGATAAGTGGATTGCAAGAATCGAGTGCGTGTGCTTGCACCGTGCCGCGAGCGATGCACCACTCAGAAATTTATACAAAAATAAAGGATAATCCAGCGTCCAGACAAGTTTATTGACCACACACACCCAAGAATAACTTAGCGAGGATGCGTCCGCGGCACACCAGCAGCGAATAAAGAAGGCAATGATCCTGCGGCTTGCTCGCGCTGCGGCGAGGGAGAAAAAATGTCAATTTAAGCGCCATTTTTATCGGATTTACCCGCCGCGCGATGCGAATTACTCAATGGTCTCATATTCTCGCCGCTGCGGCAGGTACGGGCGAGGACAAAAGAAACAAGAGAGACCGACACATACTCACGCATCGCGGCCCAAGAATACGAAACGGGTACGTGCGCACCGGTTCGAAAAAATCCGCGTCCATTTTTTTCCTCATTCCGTCTGGTGGATTCATTGAACCTGCGCCTGGTTCTTTGGAGTGGTCGTCCTTAGATTTTCATAAAAAATGGATGCATTGCCCCCACGGTTGCTGACCCCCATCGGCCGATCGGGGACCCACCACGTGTTGTGTGCGCCGTACGTGCGCAGGTTGTTTTCGCTCCTCGGTCGGAATATGTATCCATCCGATCCGTTTTGTTGGGTTGCAGCGATGTCGCACGTTATAGATGGTAGAAATGGTCGTCGTCGGGTGTCGGCGTTGAACTCTCCACCATGCGCGCCGACGATGACACGCACGTAAGCGTGTTCTGGATGCATTCGACGTCTAGACGTTTGAATTCTTCGAAATTCAAACGGCCAACGACTCGTCAAGCGCGCGCTGGCTTTGACGTCAAAGTTGAACAAACACGATTCGTTCGCGCGGCTCACATGCAAATTGGCGTAAAATAACGCGTCCCGTTCTCGATTAATAAAGCATTTTACGATTGAAAACAATCGATGCAGGAGTTTTGTTTTTGTTGCAGGTTGGCGCACTTCTTGCACTAGCTCTGTTGCTATTCTTCATCTGGTGGATGAGCAATATATGGAGTCGCAGGAGCTTACCGCCAGGACCATGGGGGCTACCTATTTTAGGATATCTAGCTTCCTTAGACCCAAAGAACCCGCATTTAACATTGACCAAATTATCGAAACAATACGGCGGCATTTATGGTTTGTATCTTGGCGGGATCTATACTATTGTACTGAGCGATGTAAAACTGGTCAAAAAAGTACTAGCAATGGACGCTACCACCGGCAGAGCACCACTTCATTTGACCCATGGTGTTATGCGAGGGTTCGGTAAGTGTTTCATCAATCTTAGAATATAATTGTGGGCTTATGAATTATTGCGTGCGCATTGCTCTCGCGTATGAGTTATGAAAATAAATTTAAAGAATTTCACGAAGGACACATACGATTGTAAGTACAAAGAGCACATATGACATACTGACCCACTGTACCCACGTTGCCGAGCTGAACACCGAAAACCCGTCGGGTTAACGACCGTTTCATATATTATTAGCTGGTGGTTACCATCAGAGAAGATATCTTGAATACTACACGTTGTAAGAAAAGTTTCAAATTGAAATTGTAGTAAAGCTCTGCATTTATTTGCTTCCAAAATTAAATTTATCATAAATTAGAGCGATATTTAAAAAAATTAAGATAGTTTTGTTCAAATCTCTAGCGTATTACTTGAATACTCGTACAAAGTTCTAAGCTGAAAAGCATGCAGTACCATAACGAGTGCCAGGTAGATCAGCGTGTTAGCATCTGATCTTCTACGCCAACGAAGAAAACCCATCAGCAAAGCAAAGTTGCCCCACCAACGAGCATCTTCAACGAGTGGTGCCGCAGCAGCCGGCTGCGTGAGACCTAACCTCTTCTTCGTCATACAAGTCATAAGATATGCGATGAAGAGGCGCACATGTTGACCACATGCGGATGACTCCACCCAGGTTCTAGCACGCCTTCTATTGGACTCGTCGATTGAAACTTTTATTTTTTTATTTTTTCCGTTTTAAATCCACGCACTCCCAGGCTAAAAATTTTGCTTAATTTAAAGTTGATTATGAAGAGATAATCTAATGGGCATTACCGAGGCCAATGCCAATGTGCAATTTAATACGTAATTGAAGAATTGACCTCTTGCGACGTGAAATGCGAGAATTTCATGAAACAGCGTGACACATTTTCTTCTAATTGCAAGTGCGAGATTCTTGGATTCTCGGACGAAGACGCTACCAACGAAAGTTAAGTGCGTGCGGTAACGCCGCAGGAAAAGTAGTCTCATACAATGGCGCGCGTCATTAAGGTCACTTTTAATACCGCAAACATTAAACAACCTAGTTTTCGCTGGTGAGTGCCATCCTCACTGATTTTTTCTTCATCCAACACACTTTTTTTCACATCCGAGGTGTTTGACATTGAAGTAGAAATCGACGTAAAATCATAATAATCAAAATTGCGAATTCATGAAACGAAAATTAGTTGTCGGACTAATTGGTCAGTTGGCAGTGAACCTTCGAGCTAAAAAAAAACTCGTGCCGTAAATTCCACGCGAAGCGAAAACAATTTTTTTGTCTAAATGTTTGGAATTCCGCACACGCTTTTTTTTTCTGCAATAGTTTCGGCGTAGTAGGCGAAAACATGCGGCGAAAAAAAGCGCGGGCTCTCGCTAACTTGTCTGATATCGATGAATGGCCGTAGTAATTTAATACGTGTTTGCGCGTGTGATCATTGACCGCCCTTGTGAAGTTTTGGCGCGTCTATAAATAAGTACGCTAACACAAGACAAGTTGTTATGCTCGAGAAAAATGACAGGCGAAGATCTATCAAAGACGAACATGTGAGTCTTGGCCAGTGGCCGACCATGGCCATCGACTTGTTTTCTCCGAGTTCTACGAACGACCGTCCTCGTATCATTTAATGGCTGCGTGTGCGCTCGGTGAAACACCCTATCCAAGGTCTCAAACGCGGGCGTACATTAATCTTACATAACAATGCCGAGAAATATTCGTAAACAAATTCTATCAGAGCCTCAATTCTGAGAAAAATTTTGTTTGTTGGAACGCACAGCGCTGGAATTTTCTGACGTCAAAAAGGGTTCTACTAAATTTAGGATTAACCCTAAGTTAGCCTGTGTGTGGTTTGATAACAATGTCAATGCTAAAGAGCAAAGTCAACAACTTCTATCTGTAGATTCATGGAGAAACCTTCATACCAGTCATCGAACTTCGGCATCTACAAAAACAGCGCACACGAATATTTTTTAACGTCGCCGTAAAGAAAAACAACTTTCGATAGTAGTGGCCGTAGTAATCCGTAGTAAAACGTGTAGTATTTTTGGGTTCGTGTGGAGTTAGGCTGTGGTGCCTGTGATCCGCCTAGAGAAAAAAAAATGGCGGGATTTTGACTTGTCGCTCATTGAATATCAACAAGATTGTCAACGAACCCGAAATGATATGAAAAGCATCGATGCTGAAAGACACGTGGAAATCTCGGCGAAATGTCATGGTCGAACATACACCTCATCAGAGGAGTCATATTGCTTTCTTACCACATCGCCGGATCTCCACAGGACTGTCGAATGTCAACGCCATTATCACTGCCAAGTAATAATATGAATTTCGTCCATGGTCTCAAAAAATCGATTGCCACATATCCATACATTCACATTCTGTATGAAGATTCATATTATAAGTTGAATTCTCGAAAAATTTCATGCGAATTACATCATTAATTAAATTTTCGCGTTTTTCGACGAGATGTAAATTCGCCTTATTTAGTCATCCAGAGAGTCGTCACCTTGGTACAGATCGTTGCGCTCAATTTTTATAATTTATGTTTTAATGATTGTACAAACAAAATATCAGCACGCTCAAGATTATCATTTGGCACTAATCACCACCAGCGAGTTTATTAACTTATTGGTTCATTAACACGTGTGGAACAAGTAAAAAATTGTTTTTCTAAAATATCATTCACCTTCACATTGTGCAAACATAGAAAATTGCTAAATTACTTACACGAATCGATTGTATAATCTTTATGAAAAACAATTTTCGGGATGTTGACGATATGTTGACTTTGAAACTAAATGCATGCGTATCCGGGTGCAATAACTGCATTAATGTTGTGGTAATTAATATTGGAGTTACGTGATGAGGAACGCAATAGATTTTGTCGTTGGTCGTTAGCAACATGGTTCTAAAAGTCAAGGATTTCGAAAGGAAATTGCAGCGCATGTCAATGCACCGGAGTGCATATAGGACAGCATTTAACTGGCTAAAATTTTTAAATCTCGAAAAATTTTGGTAATTACCTTAAAGAAAAAAACCTAATAGTTTTAATTACAACCTTAAAACTACCAAATAAATGGCTACATTTAGTTTCATTGTAATTACAGTAATATTTCTAGGTTATATTTCATTGTGAAATATGTAAGATAAGATCGTCCCTGTGCAGTTTATAAAATATTGCTATTGTGTGCACACAAAAAATACATCCATTCGTGTTTTTATCCTGCATAATGCGCACGAACATAATTAATGACGACTTGAATGCCATTTTTCGTTCGTCAATCTGTGCATTTTTTGCTCGTTGCACACGGTACAACATGGCAGTAGTTAAATTGTCAAGGACGTGCACAAAAACACCAAATGTTATAATTGGATGACCTTTCGGTGCAAGCGCAACTGCATAACCAAAAATTAATGACTGTTTTTTTTTATCAAATGATATTTTAATATTAATATTGCAGGTTTAATATGCGCACAAGGCAATTTATGGAAAGATCAACGCAAGTTTGTTTCCACTTGTCTGAGGCAATTCGGGGCCTCGAAATTTGGCGTTCGAAGAGAAGAACTCGGCGCTAAAATTATGCTCCAAGTAACAAATTCGATAACATATCTTAAAGAACATGGTGCGAAGGGTGTAGATCCAACAGATGCTTTTTACCACACTGTTGGTACATTTATGAACGAATTAGTTTTCGGTTTAAAATATGATCGTGATGATGATACTTGGCAATACATTAAGTTTTTACAAGAAGAAGGAATCAAAAATTTTGGTGTTGCGGGACCTGTTAATTTTCTGTCATTTTTGAGGTGATTTTTCTACATTAAACTTTATTTCTCTAGAGATATAATATAATTTTATATCCAGGTATGTTCCAAAATATAAAAAAGTATTTGATTTCATCATTGATGGCATGCGTCGTACACATAAAATATACCACGATATAATCAACGATCGCGTATTAAATGGTGCACCGAAGAACATTCTAGAAGCATTCTTGGCTGAAAGACAACGTCTAGGTGATGCTCCAGAGTCTACTCAATTCTACAATGATCAACAGTTTGCTCATTTACTTGGAGACGTTTTCGGAGCTGGTCTTCATACGACATTGACTACAATTTGGTATTTATTATTTTTATTTGGATATCCTTGGAGATAATTTCCGAATTGCATGCACTGTTACATGAATCGCGCCTATCAACAATTGTACATAATAAATGCACAAAACATTTCCTCATTGCAATCGGTTTTGCCTTGACTTGTCTCGCAACAGTTTTTTTTTATAAAGTGCATTCTAATTCGCTGACCTTTGATGTATAACTGCACGTTTTCAGCTGGTATTGCTTGCATATGGCTGCCAACCCGGAAGTGCAGGACAAAGTCCACGCGGAATTAGATGCGGCGTTGCAAGGACGCGAGGTGACGCTTGATGATCAGGACCTGCTTCCGTGTACAATGGCGTCCATTGCTGAAGTTCAACGGTTTAACACTGTGGTACCCATTGGGATACCACATGGTACCCTGGAGGAATTAACTGTAGAAGGGTACCGTATTCCGAAGGGGACTATGATTATGCCATTGCAGTGGGCAATTCATACTGATCCCAAATATTGGGATGAACCAGAGAAGTTTAAATTGGAGCATTTTATCAACGAGGAAGGAAAGTTTTATAGACCAGAAGCATTCATTCCTTATCAAACAGGTAAGCGACAATTCCTCATAATTTTACTCTAGGTTAATTTAATTTTTATTGATTTTAACAGGGAAGCGAATGTGTGTAGGTGATGAACTCGCCAAAATGCTGCTGTTTCTCTTTATTGCCAATATTATGAAAGAATTCCGCATTTCTGCCGATGGAGACGTAAATTTCCAAGGTCTAAACAGTGTGACATATTGTCCCTTACCTCAAGAATTAATTTTTACGCCTCGCAATCAAAAATAATTATACGCAATATACTTAAAACTGAAATAAACAAGTAAATATTTTGTCTTGGTTTTCTGCTTATCTTCTTGAGGTTATATTTATGTTTTGGCTAATATTTAGTTACGTCTTTGCGTAATAAGTGAATTGTTGATTCTGTCGCGTCCGAAATGAATTTTAATATTTACATTGCAATATACTGAATGGCAGACAATTTAACGAGGAATTAAAATTAAAGGGATTGTGGAAATTTTACAGGCTGAAATAAAATAAATAGGAGAATATTACGAAAAAAAACTTTGATAACATTGACATGGTTTATGTATTTAAAAATAGTATAACAAATTTACAAATAATATTAATCGATAATAGTAATTATAATAATCGTGTACACATGTCATGTGAAAAACATGAGAATACTAATGTATAATTATGATAGCATAATTGTAATAGCAAAAAAAGCGCAAAATACATTTCTGCAAATGAATTATAAAAATAAAGGAATGTACAAAGAAACCCCATGGGGGTTATTCATTCGCCGGTGATCCAATAATATTTCAATATGCATAATATATGAATATGTCGGTATTGCTCGCACTTATGATAAGCAAATTGATGCCGACAGCGTTTAATAAACTGTTACCGAAATAAAACACATAGATGATCAAATAAGTAATATACTGCGATTTGTTGCAAATCTAATTACGACACCGACAATCATTTACTTTTTGTATTACAAATTACACACGATCTACGTGAATGCATAATACCAGATACTTTGAATTTCATTGCTCGACGCGCCACAACGCCAAGCATGCAATATGAATGGCTGAATACCGAAAGAGTTAAGCCAACAAGAAATAAAACGCTTGATAATGACATTTATATACACTTACACTTAACACTTAGAAGAGAAATAATAAAATATATAAAGTTTACGAGTTTACAAGTTAAAAGTTTAAAAAGTTTCGGGTTTCGAGTTCAATTTTAAAAAATTTCTTTTATTTCTCAGTTGGTCTTTTTTCGTTTATTTAATTTCATACGTAATACTTACTAAAAAAAGAACTATAAATTACTTATTAGATTGGCAAAGTTTTCCTAGTTGAATCATGACTAGTTATACTTTTTATATATTGTTTTACTAACATTAGAACGATTTACATCGAACGTTCTGAAATGGGTTTTCGAGTAATGCTTAATTAAAACAAACAAAATCAATTAAAATTAGTAAAATACTAAACGAGTATGTATGAACACGTTTGCACAGCCGAATATACTCGGAAAGAGATCGAACACGCTACGCAGCGCCCAAAATATTCACTTCTTTTTTTTTTTCTGTTTTTTTTTTCAATCTTTTGCGTGAAATGTAAAGTGTGGAATGGAACGATAAATATATGGTACACTTACATAATGTGAAAATGTACAAAATGGATTGATTCCTTGTGCCACAGCCAATTTGTTCTTCGCCTTCGATTGAGGAATCTTTTCAGTCACCGTGCATTAGATTTGTAAATGGTTGCATACTTCTTGCTGTCCTATGACTGAAGTCAAGAAGAAGAACATTTACCGAATTGTTCAATAGCTGCCCGCCGGCCTGAACACGGTGTCCCATACCATCGGGCGAGGTTTGAAGCAAACTTTGAACGGATTAGGATTGATGGTGACTCCCGCGTTGCCCTGTAGACTCGGGAGTGTTTCACCCTCAGGTACGGACAAGTCGAATGAATGCACCAGGGAGCTGAAGAAGAGGAAGATCTCCATGCGTGCTAGTACTTCACCCAGGCACATTCGGCGGCCTACACCGAATGGTAAGAAGTACTCTGGTCGGATGATTTTACCCTCGTTGTTGATGAAACGAGAAGGGTCGAACTTTTCCGGCTCATCCCAAAGGTCTGGATTCATATGAACAGCGTGAAGCAATGGGACGACCTGAACGCTCTGTGGCAACTTGTAGCCGTTGACGAGGACATCTCTGTAACAAAACAAAAAAACACGCACTTTTAGCTACGGTAATTTACGTGTGTTGTAACGCGTCGCTATTTTTTTTTTGTGAACTCGGCGGGCATTGTGTTTTACTTAATTTAATTGAGAAACCGTCTGGTTCTTGAACGGGTTCGTTGAACTCAGCGTCGGCTGTGTGTGTGGCGCTCGCGTTCTCCATTTCGACTTTCACTTTTTTCGCAGGTGCCGCGCAAATTTGACAAAAATAGTGTGTCTGCCCAATTACGGTATGAGATAATGCTTACTTTGTTGGTGCGTGCGTGGTTCCCATCGGTACAATACTGGAACGGCGAAGAACTTCCATCATAGTTGATTCGGTTATCGGAAGATACGACATATCTTCCAGTTTTGGTAGTCTTTGTCTGCCAACAACGGAATCGAGTTCCTCTTGGACAGCTTTCAATACATCAGGATGGTGCAGCATGAAGAGCACAGCCCATTGAAGAGAAGACTTGATCGTTTCCATACCAGCAGAGAACAAATCACCCATAATTTGTTGCATTTGACGATCTGAATAAGAAAATAATACAATCGTTAATAATTTTGAAATTGTGACAATTTTTTGATGACTTACCGTGATCACGACCTTCGAATAATTTGTCGTTTATGCCTTCCTCAGTGGCTTGGTGAATTTCCATCAAGTAGGTATCGAGAAGATCGCGCAAGTTACTGGGGTCAAAGTTTTTCCTGTGCTCGTCGATGGTTTCTTGCAAAAATGTGGCCATTTCTTCACGGTTCTGTAACAAAATTCAGAGTGTTAGAAATCAGAATAATTGTTTTAAGTTGAATAAATTCGACTTACTTGTTCAATTTTCAGTTTGGTCTTTTGGAGTCCAGGCAAATACTTGAGGATGGGAATGAAGAGTACAGGACTCATCGAGCCGAACAGCTTGAAACCTTCGTCGATGAGATCCATGTATCTGCGGAACCTCGAGTCGTTGTGCGAGAACCTAACTGACATGATAATGTCGCAAATCACGTTGGAGATTGAAACAGCCAGCACTGGGTTGACATCTGTAGGTTGCTCTTTTTGTGCTCTCAATTCGTTGAGGAACTCTTCTACTTCAGTCATAATGCGATCTTCCATTTGATTTTTACGGGAACCGATGTAAGACATACCGAAGTGACGCAGACCATCATGGATGAACCGGCGTTGGTCCTTCCATAATTTACCTTCGGTGTTGATCACACCTGAATAACCAAATTACCAGAATTTAATTTAATTTTCTTAAAAATAAAAAAAATCGAGACTTACCGTAACCGCCGAGAATATTGGTAAATTCAGTAGTTGGTCGTCCTGTGAATTCATCTTTGCGGAACGAGTCCCTGATGAGTTTATAGTCGCTGATTACAACGATCAATTGGGACCCAAGACGAGTAGACAACAGCGATCCGTACTTATGTGTTAAGTCACGGAAATACAGATGCATGTCGCTCTTGATGAACGGCAGCGAGCCGACCACCGGCAAACCCCATGGTCCAGGCGGTAGACTGTACACCTCGGTGAGGATTTGCAATAACCTCACCAGAAGCAGTACAGTGAAGAATACCACCAGCATCGATGCGGACACCTCACGCACACACACACCCCACAACCACTGCGCGCAAAACGTGAACATTTTCGTTCAAGTCAAATATCGATTGTTTATAAATTGTTTTTACTTCTTTTTATCGCCGCACAATTCTTTTCTTATCTTTTCGCGTGGCGCCGACAATTTTTCTCTCGACTTGTGTTCGGGCGCACAAAATTGTTCAGTGTTCCATTTAAAAAATTCTACTTATTTTTAAACTCTAAAAATTTTTCCCAAAAAATTTTCAGAGTTGTTGTACGTTGTGAAAATAAAACTTGCGTGTTGAGAGACGTGGTGCGTTCTCAACCAGCGTTCTTTGAATACATGAGTGTCAATGCTACATCACACTGAATCAAAACCTTATATACTTTAGTCAAGTATATGACTTAAGCCGCGCTGAGGCGGAGTCGGTATCGATAGCCCAATCGAGCGCGCAACTCCCCACTTTTACAGAAATCGACGAAACGAAAACGTTCTCGAGGTGGCTGGCGCGCAGCTCTCGCGCAGCGCTGAGTACTCTCTGGTACTCTCGTTCCGGACGGCGGGACGAGATGAGTCCGGAGATGCGAGGGTGCGTATGAACAACACACAGAAAAAAAAATAGAATCATTTATGACCAGAACAGATTTATTACCGTCTTTAACACTATAAACCTAGTTTACATTTACGTTTTCATAACTATTACGTATGTTAAATATGCGCACAATGCATTTAATCTTTATACGAGTAACATTATTACATAATTTATTATTACATATTTTAATCGCATTTAATGCGCATGTGTCGAGTGCAGATTAAGTTACACGGAAACAATCCTGTTTATGATTGTTGCATAATTAGGTGTTGAATTTTCATGATATTGTCAATTTTTAAGTGTCAAGGTAGTTCAAACGCTTAATTGTGCATTTTGCAGTTAGTGAACTTACAGGCCACATTGAAATTACACACCGTTGAAATTGAATACGGCAATAACTGAAATATAAGCCAACTATTCTAAGTTTATGAACGCAAAAGAATTTTTTATTAATGTGGCACAAATTAGCGCTCAATTAATCACAAAATTAAACTTTGAGCGTGTGCACAACAAAGGAATTAAATGCGCGGCATTTTTCGCCTATTTCTTTTTGTTGAAATCGATTAATCATTGGCCGGTGATAAGAAGTACGCGCCTGCAAATGCGTATTTCCCTAGTAAGCACGTGCGAGTGCGTATAATGCGTGAACTGATTTCATTGCGTTCGACGATTACGTCACTTACTCTATCATTCCATAGAGCAATTTGTGATGTGTTAATGTATGGCCTGCATACACGTACGCGACAATAATCCAGAGGTGAGCTAGTGAATGAATGAGACACACGCCACTTGTTATCAAACTATCAACAATTAACAATTGTCAATAAATTAACGTCAAATGTTTGCTTGCCACTCTTTCCCATCATGAAAATTAACCGAATCATCCAGCATTTAGATACCAATCATTTTGATTTGTTTTTGATAGACAACAACAACCTATTGCAGGCTTAATGAATTAATTACTGGTATATTTATTGATCCGTTTCACTAATGATGAATAATTTTTCAATTATGAGCTGACTCCGAAAACTGATTACAGTGAATAAAATTTTACGAGCGCGATTTTTAGTAGGTGATGGCGTGGAGCGTAGCGTCCATCTTGCAGTTAATCGATCATCATCAAGATGAAATTGCTCCTCACTTACGCAACGCATCCCAAGCGATGCACTACCAACTTACACGCGAAACACAAAAGTCGGAATGAATGAGTTTGGGAAAATTGGTGCCTTTATTTATAACGCCGTGTGGATCTGGATTTGTGGATGTGTGTGTGTGTGCTTGTAGAAATTAATAAACGTCTGAGCACATGCCGTGTGTTCTTATAGAAACACACATGTAACGAATCGATACATGTGTGTATGCATGCGCTCTCGGAGAGAGAAATCAGAGCATTAGGTCAGGGGTAGGATCATGGTCATGACTGACTTTGACTTGCACAATAAGAAAGCCCACGCCGTCTCACAACGTTCGTTATTAAAACATGCGCCCATAAATACACTCAGATTCTGTATGTGCATTTGTGGCAAACTTTTCCAATGTGATTAGATTCCTAGGATATCTTCTTTATTGGAAAATTTTGAAAAAAAAAATCAATCTAATTTGATTAATTTACACTGTTGCTACCATAATGAATGTTTAATTAATCTTCGCGTGCTAATAAATTATTGTCTTTAAAAAGTGCGTTTCGCGTCCATTTGAAGGTTGTCAAATCCGGTTTTTTTGGAACAGCGCAGACTTCGGACGCGTTTCGACGCAGATTTTAACAGCGGGCGAAATTGTTACGCATTTTGGTTAGGAATCTTCTTCAATTTGCTAATTTGTCCCATTAAAAACTATAAATTTTTAATTATTCTAATAAATATGACATAAAACATTATTAAGATTGTATTAGATACATTTGTTACAATGGTTTAAGAGTACTTAGTAGTTTTATTAGTAGTATTAGTACGCAACGGCTGGTAACGACTGTTTCGCATGTTCTTCGTACCTCGCTACTCTCCAGAGACAAGAGTGGCGAATGTATTAAGCCGCAAACTTAACTTAACGCGAGTTGCCCAACACAAAAGCTTAACCTACATGCGCCTGCGAATTTATTTTTAGAACTCGTGCGCGCATCTCTCATTTTCGACTGCTTTTGGTGGTACAGTGGTATGCAAAAGAACTATACACAGGTATACCTACCAATAAAACCATGGGACACCCACTACTTTCAAATATCAACTTCTTTCAGTCGTTGAGGTATAAATCAATTGTATTATGACAGGAGTTGAATAAGCTAAATCAAACATGATTTTCTGAAGTTCTTTTTTTGGAGGACAAATTGTGTTAGTTTGAAATTTTCCAAGAATTCTTCTGAATGTGAGAACCTGTGAGGTATTTTAGACATTAGATTATGTTTGGGTTGGGTTGGGAACGCCCAGCAAAACCCTTATATAATATTTACTATAGGGTCAATGACCTTCCGTTTACCAGCCAAAAGATGACTTGGAATCTAGCAAAGATATTTTTTCTCCGATGCTCATTAGGATACCCACAAAAAACAACCCTTTGGGTACAAAAAACGTGGGAATTTTTTTTGAAAACGTTGTATTTGTCCAAAATATCTGTGGGCTAATATTTCTCATAGGGTGTTTTTATAGCAGCTGAGGTAATTTACCACCAACACCCTTGGAATTGTGGTGTGGTGCAACTTAAGCCTTGAAAAAACGCATCCGGCTGATTTGAACTCGGGTCCAAAACTCAGACCATGTTGCTCGATGGATAAGAGATAGCATTTGTTGAGAGGTCGTTCACCCTCTACGATCTACGTGAACCACTTGACAAAAATGTATTCATCATTTCGGGCGCTTACTGAGCACACCGACTCGTCCCTCGGTGGGTCCCAATAGACTTGATTATGATTGTGAGTTCGACGGCCTAAGAAAGAAAACTTTCCAGAACTTTCCAAGAATTTTGTTTGCTAGGAATGTGAAAGATTATATGCTTTGCCCTTGGGCAGTAGGACAAAAGGGTTTTCCATTTGGATTCTACACAATAGAAAATTAGAATACTATTGATGTTCAAGAAAGATTTACAATATTCATAAATGTTTTTGGTCATTATCATTCACTTGGTCTGTATTCCTTTTGTAATGAAATTATTTGACCTCACAGGTATTAAATTTTCTAATTTGATCATTAGAGATGTCAAAAAAATCATGCGTACATCTGCACGCCAAAAAATGCGTGAGTAACTAAGGTAAGTGTTAGCAAATTAAGATAAATACAAAAAGGCGAGAACGATCATTCGTGGACCTAGTAACCTTAAAAACGCGTGTAAAAAAAATATTCGCAAGCGCGCAAGCCGCCGCAGAAGAACAAGAACCGGCCGCGCGCGCGGCCAACGCGACCAACGCACACGCCGACGCGATCGCCGCGCGAACCGAAAAAAAATCACCAGCAACAGCAGCCGGCCAGCAACCAAAAATAATCCCTAACCTGCCGTAACGTGCCCACCGTTACGAACCGATGACGACGTTTTATTTTAAAAATACATACAACATACAAGAGTGACCGCGCTTGACACATTCGAAATCATAAATTCAACATCAGAAGCATTAGTAATTGGTGATGAAGCAGGCGAGAAATGCGAATCAAAAATTAATAAAAAAAAATTAAATTAAAAAAACACACACATAAAAAGATATAGAGAAAGAAAAAGCAGCAACACTGCCGCACGCACAATCGACAGGTACCTACTCTGGTAGATTGTGTCAAGGCCTAAGGAAGGAACCGATTGACCCGAATTCATGCACACACCGTCGCGGCGGTGGATACACTTCTTGCACCTTTTGCACGGCGCTACAAGACGCTACCAAATCCTAGTGCATCAAAATTACATTCATCTATTTGTCCAACATCCAATATCTACCTCCGAAGACGTTATTGTAACCTGTAAAGTCCGTTAGCGACTCTCTGGGCGAGTATAGCAAGTATTCAAATCAAAACCATTAAATTATTTAAATGATATACAACACGATTGCCAGAGCTACTTATTATCTCTAAAAGCTTAATTTAATTGATATTATTATTCAATTTATTATAGCATCTATCTGTTTTTGGATGGACGTATTTGGTTTAATGGTTTTCATGTATTAAAGCTTCAAATGGGCAAAAATCAAAGTTGCTGATCTCAAAATGTTAGTGTTAATTAATTATTCTTAAGTTTTCACTTCTATTTGAATGCAAACGCTGCATATATTAATGAAATGACAAACAATTTGTTTGATTGCTGCGTATGTAAGCTCACAAGAAATTGATTGGAGGTTGCACATATCTAATAATAGCCATAGTTCCGTGATTGTTTCAATGAATGCAGAAACGGTGAGCTAATCATATTATATGGTGCGACAAACGTCCATCTTTCTAGGTTCGAGGTATTACAGCCAGTTATTTTTATGGCCGGCGCTCATTTATTAATTGCACTCGTAACAAGTGTAATGACAATGAAGTCAATAATAGACGTGCTTGCAAATTTACATTGTATTTTCATTACATACAGTCCCGGATCACTGATCAATGAATCCGAAAATTTCATTAATGAAATTCTTATCAATGGAAATGTACTCTACTCTATAGAATTTATTAACTATCGAAAATTTAGACAAACATGTTGACAAGGCAAACCCATTAAGTTCATATGGAATTTTACAATAATCAATCAACCACATGTTGATGATATAACATGATACGGACCATACAAATGGTTCTAAACAACTATATAAATAAATAATTT